GCAATAAGTCTTGTGCTATATTAGCATTGTTTTTGTGCGAGAGAATATCTGATGACAGTTCAGTCCAGCTCTGGAGAAAACAAATCTGGCATCTTATTTAATTTGCATATATTGACTTATGGCATGAAACAAGAAACGTGACTATAAACGTTGTATTGTATAGTTGGATGACAGTGAAACCTGCCAGAGGCATTCATACTTTGAGCATTGAATAGTTTGTTATAGCCCTTTTAGTTTGTTAGCTAGTGACAATAAACATGCAAGTAGACATTAGGGCATCTTCACTCCAGTGAAATTCTCTTTATATTTTAAATATCATTCGTTCTGCCCACTTTTTAATTTTCATTTGTTAGTCACTGTAGAGTATTAAACACCAGTTTTGCTGAATAGAAACGCAGAAGTTCACAGTGCGGAAGGTTATGTTTTTATCCATTGTCTGTGTGCCTTGAGCTCAAAATCTCAGGATATGTTCAAGCAACTGCTTAAAAACATCTTAATTTTGATCCTGGTGGCTTCTTGCTCTATGCCAGCCCCAGAGTTATCTCAGAAGATGTCAGTCATTGGTTAGGAAATGTGAATGTCACACAAGCGGTTCGGATGAAGAAGCCCCTTTGGCCCATTTGATCTCATCCCTCCAGGATACCCACCTTACTGTCCTCCTATCACAGTATCAGGCTGATTCTTAAATGAGTCCAACATCCTAGCCTCGAACACTTATCCTGGTAACCTGCTTCAGTTGCTAATTACCCTCCAGGTAATTGCTTCTGGGTGTCTGTCCTTAAGGTCTTGTGCAGGGAGTGCAGAGGAGATTTACAAAAATAATTCCAGAAAGGGGCTTTAGTTATGAGGGAAGATTGGAGAAATTGAGTCTATTTTATAATAATAATACTTGCATTTAATAATGCATCTTATGTCGTTGAGATGTCTCCATTTTCTTTGGAGCAGAGAAGATTAAGACTGCGGAAACATTCCTTCATTAAGTGAATAGTAAACGTATGGAACAGGCTCCCTAGGTAGACAGTGGAAGCAGAAAGTGTCTGTTTGTTTCAAGAACAAATTTCCACTGGCTTGTTGTTGTGAGATAGTCACAAGAAGAGCTTTGGTACATTTTTTTCATTCCTTGAGTTGTTGGGATGTGGAATTCCCTGTCAAGTAAGGTGGTAGAGACAGAGTTTATTGTGAATTCCAAGAAGGAGGTATTGAGATAATCCACAAAAATGCTGTAGTCACAATTATAACATAGCCAAAAGAATAGTGAAAGGACTTTAAAGGAAATTTTTCATGCAGAGATTTGTTGGGATGTGGAACGCTCTGCCGAGTAGGGTAGTGGAAACGGGGTCCGTAGTAGTTTTCAAGAGGGAAGTAGATCTGCCTGCTCCCTCCGTTCATCGGGCTCCGACCTGCTCCATGTCTCCCACCCGACCGGCCCTACCATCGGTGGCCGGGCTTTCAGCCGCTCTGCCCCCACACTCTGGAACTCCATCCCACAGTCCTTTCACCTCGCTTCCTTTTTCCCTTACCTCCTTCAAAACCGGTCTGAAGACCCTTCTCTTCGACCGTGCCTTTGATCTCCCTCCTACCTCTCTGCCTTCCCTCACCCCTACACCACCCCTCCCCCATGCTCGGGCTCCGATACCTGACTGTTCAGCGCTTTGGACGTCCTCCCAACGTGAGAGGTGCTCTATAAATGTAATTTTGCTGTTGTAGACAGCGAAGGGCTTGAAGGCAGGGAGGTGGGATTGAATTAATCTTCTTGCTCTGTGAGCTGGTGCAGACTCGATGTGCCAAATGGCCTCCTTCTGCACTGTAGATCTCTATGTTTCAGTGTAACCTAATACTGTTCACCAGCTTACGTTCATGGAGTTCAGGTCAGAAAGACAATTATATAGCTCCAAATCGTTATTTCTGTTTCATTGGAATCTACAAGAATACTACCGTAAACCCCAATCCGTTATATGGTGGAACTTGGGAGTTCATAAAATTGCATCGTACCTTATAACTGTGTGAGATCAAGTGACTGCAGGTCAGCGCACAGCACAGCGCATACATGCAGAAAGCTGACTTGCTTCCTGTGCTAAAATATGTCGGACCTCCAGGTCATCAGATTGCTGCCAGTGTCACTTCCTGTGTGCAAACTTCCTCTCTGGGTGTCATGGCAGTCTTTGGATTGGCATTGCATCTGTAGATGATAATGCAATATATATAGTAAACTTCAGAAAAACATCTATACATGTCCACTTCCTAAAATAGTCACCTCGTCTGTTTATCATTGTTACTAAAGCTAGAAGGATAATGTTAAGCAGCAGACCTGATGGTTTCAGCTTGTGCACAGACCTCGGGCATGCAACACACATACTTTACTGAATATGCTGATTGATAATTGCAATTGCAGTACTGTGTTGTTCAATTATTTAGTTCCTAGATATGAGGGAGTGTGTGGAACAGAACAGACATGATTTGTGCATCCTTCATGGGAGCACAACCAAGCCTCACCTAACCAGCAAGTTTCAATTCATTTTACCCATTGTGGAAGAAGCAGCTCTGAGCTAATGAGATGTCAGACTCGATCAAATGTGACAATTATATTTCTCTGTTATTTAGCAAAATACTATGGAGATAGTACAGAATAGGTGCATGCAGATGGTTCTATGGATGAGAGATTAGTGTTTTGAAAAGTACAAAAGGGCTGTTATTGCTGGAATAGAGATTGAAGAATAATAAAGATCTTTATCAAAATTTTGAAAAGATTTGGGAGGATAAATATTGAAAAATTATATCTACTGGCTGGTAAATGGATAACAAGGGAACATACATTTAGGATTCTCAGGAAGAATTGCAGGAGAAATGAGGATTATTGTAAAGCGTTCCAGTGGAGGAGCTCGCAGCCAGCATAGATTTGATGAGCTGAATTGGCCCCTCCTGTGATGCAAGTTCTATAATTTTCTACGACATTAGCCTTTCCTTTCTCTTGTCTCCTTTCACCTCTCGTCTTCTCTCCTTGCCCCTACCTCCCACTCTCTCACTCTCACCTTGTCTTTTACTCTCTCAAACTCACTGCCTCATTCTCACACCCTCCCGCTCTGCAGCTCATCTCCTCTCCTCTCCCGCACCAAGCTCCCATCCCTGAGAGGATCGAGTTTAAAATCCTCGTCTCACTTTTAAAGCCCTCTGTGGTCTTATCTCCTACCTACTTCTGCGATCTCTTAACACCATACCATCCTGTCCGCTCTCTCCATTCGGCGGGTCCTGGCCTCCTTCACGTCCCCCGCCCTGCCAGCCCAACTGTTGGCGGACTGGCCTTCAGCTTTCTTGCCTCCACCCTCAGGAACTCCACCCTGAATCCCTCCCTCGCCTCCTTCAAGGCCTGTCTCAAGACCTTCCACTTTGACCATGCCTTCGGCCACACTCCTACCCCTCTCCCTCTATCCTCGAGTTCTCCTGATCCCAAACCCCAGCTCAGGTGCAAATCCTTAAATGTCCAGTGCCTTGGAATGTCCTTCCGACATTAAAGGCGCTATACAAATGTCATTTATTGTTGTTCTTCCAACATGAAAGGAGCTATACACATGCAAGCGTTGTTATTTATTATATTAATGCCCACATTTATCTGTTTTACTGATGTTAATGTAAAATAACATTAAATGCCCTTTCAAATTCATTGAACAATAATCAAAGAGATAAAAATGCTTTTAGTGTTTCAGTGTTACCTAATAGGTCATAAATATGATGATTCTACCATAAACCATTTGAATACAGCCAATCTGCTGACCAGGAAAAAAAAGGTTCTCTATGTGAGGATCAGGCGTTGGATTAGCTCAGTTAGTAGCACTCTCACCTCTTGAGTCAGGAGGTTGCGAGTTCAAGACAGAGATGCTCGTCAATTGTATAGACTCTCAGATAAACCAAGACAACAAAACAAAAGGATAGAAGCTTAGGGTGGCGGAGGGGATACCAGCAAGGGTGGTCAAGGCTAGAATACTGGACTAATTTAAGAAACAGCTTGATGCCGCGATGGCAAAACAGTAGGATTGATATTCTGGAAGGAATGAACGAAATCAATGAATGAGATTTCTTCATGAGATTTGTAAACTTATCCAGCTGTATCTGCTGGTTCCTCGATTAAATTAAATTAAATAGTATTGTTATTGGACGTCATGATGGATAACATAAGAATACAAGATCCAATACAATTTATATTTCTAAAGCACCTTTCACATCAGGAGGACATCCCAAAAGGCATTCACAATGATGGATGAGCAGTCCAGCTAGTGGTGGGAGGTGGGAAGGGGAAAGGTGGCCGAAAGCGGAGTCGAAGATGTGCGTTTTGAGATGTGCCTTAAAACATTGGAGTTGGGCAGAACCTCCCCCGCCCCTCTTCTCTCCCTCCTCTCTTCCCCCATCTCCCACCTCTCCCCCTTTCTCTCCTCTCTCCTCACTCCCCCTCCCTCACCACACCCCCCACCCTCAATCTTCCAACTAGCGTACGGTTCACTATCTGCAGGGCAGGAGCCGGAGGTTGCTAAAGACGCAGTGGATAAGGAGAAGCACTTGCCTTCCCCTCAACTCGGAAACACACTGCAGTAACAGGCGGCCTTATTTCCAATCTCCGCACTGTGTCCTCCCAACCACTGGCTCCTGCTGCTGCCCTGAGAGGATGTTCACTGGGGAGGGAGAGTTCTGAAGTGTTGGAAATCGTCTCAGGCTGAAAAGAAACACCCGCCGGGTCCCTGTTGACCACCCTGCTCTAATTATAAAGCAGAAGACCTCCTTAGTACAATTCTTTTCGACATCTGTTCTGTGTTGCCCATTGTTACCAAGTAGATGAGAACTGAACTACAACAGGGGTATGGCCTGTCCAAGCCACTACTAATTTATTGTGATTCGTATCTGACTGAATACACCAGGAACGTCTGCAGAAATTGTGCTGCATTTCCAAGGATGAAAGCAAACTTGCTTGGGATCATCTTTTGTCCTTTTTTATCTCGGCTTGTTTTATATAGCTGCTGTTCGAGCGTGTGCTGATGGGGGAGCAAATGAACTTCATCATCATACAAACGGAATGCAAGAGAGGTAAAGCTAATGGCTGTTTCAGTTCTTCAACTATCAAAGTCTTTGTTAATTGCAGAGTTGTCTGATCCTTCTGAGGGAAAAGATGAATTCCTATATAAAAGTAATTCTGTCGTATCTTATTAAAATGGAAAAATTGGGTATAACAAAAACACTAATCAGTCAGAGAAATCAAGGAGAGGAGCAAAGTCTTTTACATCTATGACTTTCTTCATCAGTCAGTGTCAGTCACTCTGATTACATTTACCCTTGTCACAGGTGAAAAGGACAGAGCTGGCTGATAAATGTTCATGTTTCCACTGCTTAAAAAATATTTATGAGCAGTCTGCCTTCAGGAAATTCAGAGTTTGCTGCAATAGCCTTCCTTCATTGTTTGTTTAGAAAAAATACACTTCACAATATGATAACTTTTCTTTCGCTGTGCAGAATATGTATGTGCCAGGCCAGCAGATATAGTGGAGTTGCCAGGAGGCTGAATCCTCCTTTAAAACAATTCAATACAAAACTACAATACAACATTTATATTTGTAAAGCGCCTTTAATAATCCTTGCATTTGATATAGCGCTTTTCACATCGGGAGGACGTCCCAAGGCGCTAGATCGTCAGTGATCTGGGCCCGAGCAGGGGGTTGGGTCAGGAGGGTGGAGGGTAGCGAGGATACGGAGGTGGGGGAAGGCAAAGCGGTTCATGGCATGGATATGGGAGAGAAAGGACAGTTGAAGGTCGAACAATACGCCCAAGTTCCTGACTGGTTTGGTGAGGTTGAGTGTGCATCCGTGGATGCTGATGCTGCCAGTGCCTGAGGTGTGGAAGCGCTAGCGCGAGCCAATCAGGAGGGCCTCGGTCTTGGTCACATTCAGCTGTAGAAAGTTGTTTTTTATCCAGAACCTGATATCTGACAGATAGTCTGTCAAGACGTCAGATGTCCTGGATTCGAGGGTGGAAGCAGAGAGATAAAGTTGGGTGTCATCCGCGTACGTGTGGAAGTTGACCCCGTAACTGCGGATGATTTCACCAAAGGGGAGCATGTAGAGGTTGAAAAGGAGGGGACCGAGGACAGAGCCCTGAGGAACACTGCACGAGACTGCGGAGGCTGGAAGGGAAACCGTTGGCGGAGACAAATTGGAAACGGTGTGAGAGATAAGACCTGAACCATTCAAGGAAAGAACCTTGAAGATTGAGGTGAGAGGAGAGGCGGTGGAGGAGGATGGAGTGATCCCAGGGTATTTGAAGGCAGCAGAGAGGTCGAGGAGAATGAGGAGGCAGAGGGAGCCCTGGTCACAGATGGACAGGATGTCATTTGTCGCCTTGAAGTTCAGAGCAGTTTCTGTACTGTGAGCAGCAGCTGATTGGAGGGGCTCGTGAAGGGAGTCGTAGGAGAGAAATGAGCAAAGCTGGGAAGTAACAACACTTTCAAGGAAAGTCAAGGGAGGTTGGAGATGGGCCGGTAGTTAGAAAACAGGGATGGGTCCAGGGAAGGTTTTTTCAGGATGGGGGTTATTATAGCTGTTTTTAGGGGATAGGAACGGTGCCAGATGATAAAGAGAGATTGATAGTGTCGGAGAGTAGAGGTGGCGAGGAGGTGGAGCTGGGAGGTAAGGAGAGGGCTGAGGATGAGCTCAAGGGAGCAGGTGGTGTGTAAAGCAGTCCCAGCTGGAGTACTATTGTGTTTTTATTATTATTATCTTAAGATTTAAATTCCTCTGCCTTGCCGCCTGCTTATCAGTCTTCAGATTGTACCTTACTCTTTGACTGTGCCTACAGTCACCTTCCCTCTTCCTAGTTTGTTGTCAAACTGCAACTGTTAAGCACTTCGAGACACTACCTCATGTGAAGGGCACTGTGTAAATGCAAGTTGTTGAATCTGAAATGACAAATGTGGGGTGAAAAATGTGAAATTTCAAAACTGGTTCAACATAATAACAACAACAATTCACATTTAGTGCCTTTCATGTGAGGAGCTCATCTCAAAGCACTTCACACAGCTGATTGGGAGTCCAAGCTGGGGGGGTGGTTGGTGGGAAGGTGGCCGAAAGTGCAGTCAAAAGAATGGGTATTGGGAGGATTTTGAAAGTAGGAAGGGAGAGGCCAAGTTGGAGGGAATCTGGGATGGAATTCCAGAGAGCAGAGGCAGAATGACTGAAAGCTCGCTACCGATAGTCAGGTGGATTATGCAGAGGACATGAAGGAGGCCAGGGGTTTGCTGAGAGGGAGCGGACAGGACATGAGGGTGGAAGAAAGTTGCGCAGGTTGGTTGTGGCAAGATCAGAGAGTTTTGAGCATTAATGACAAGGAGCTTGAATTTGATCTACTGGGGAATGGGAGCCAGTGGAGCCGAGCATGGGTTAGATGGACTTGCAGAACTTGGCGTGGGGTACATGAGGTAGGTTAGCAACTGTGCAGATCTATGTGATTTGTGCCTAAGGAGAGAAGGTGTTGATTGGAGCCAAGCAGGAGAGCCTCAGTCTAGTCAATATTTACCTGTAGGAAGTTAGAATTAATCCAGGACTTGATATGACAGGAAATCGGCCATAACAGCATTGGTCCTGAAATTAAGGGTAGAGGCAGAGATAGTTGTGTCTCATCCATGTGTATGTGGAAGTATAGTAACTTAACTCTGCAGGAGAATATTAGATGTTGAAAAGGAGAGGCCTGAGTATAGAGCTCTGAGGAATACAACAAGTGACTGCTTTGTGGCAGGAGGAGAAGCTATTGGAAGAGAACATAGCCACAGAACTGAACACCGCATCTCCCTGCCACCTTGGACTTGGTAACATGATTGACCCAAAGATATCTCCATTCGATCGCTGCTCCCAATCATTCCAATATGCATTAGAGTGCAGTTAAGATAGGAATACCACCTTAATGATATTGTGTTCTGTGAAGCAATCAAATGCTGGTTTCGGGTTTGGATAAAGAAATCAGACCTGTTTAACAATATCCGACACAGCCATAGGTTTCCCTTCAGGAGGAAGCTGTTATGCCGAAGTCGGTGGGAGGGTGGGGGAGTGCTTAATTTCATGGCCTGGCTTTTGGAATGGCTGGAAAAATGTGACATTTTGTTACAGATTCAACAGCAACAACTTGCAAGCATATAGCTCCCTTCAGGCGAGGTAGTGATCTGGAGCGCTTGATTCAGTGTGTGATAATCACATTGAATCTGCTATGAAATGCTGCATTTTTCACCTCGTAGTTGCTCTTTCTGGGTTTCTATTGATACAAGTGTATAAATTGATCTTGATTCTTAGATGCTGAACTGGATGTCACACCGTGCCAGATTCAGGCACTGACAGTGGGGGAAGGATGGATGCACCTATTTAGCAATAGTGCCATACACGTAGTTTAAATGTGAAGAAAGTAATATCCATGTAATGTGACAGCAAAAGTTGACATTATGTGCAGATATTTGCCAAATTGAAGATAGTAAAAGACTAACTACCATAGGCTTTTCTGAAAGTTTAGTACAGAAGTGTCCTTTATATGCTGTTTATGGACTGCTGTTCCCTGGAGTATTAGAGGAGTTGCTTCTCAGAGGATCACACACTTCTTGTACATTTCCCTTTAATGCTGGGTATTGTTATTACAGTAATTGAATTAGAGTTGGTGTTTGGAGGATTTTGTATACAGCATGTGTTCGTGCCAATACAGAGAATTAATTATACATGCTATCTCTAGACATGTCTGCAGAGGAGAATGACTACCTCAATTTGATGTAAAATATTCATTCTGAAATTGTTTTAAAAGACTATTTGGGTATTTATAGCATATATGTGATGGCAAAAGAAGAATAGAAGTCTTATCATAGTAAAGCATTTGTGATGAGCCACCCAAAAAAACACATCCATTACAACAGGTCTTTTAAAGCTGTACAAAGTGCCAGCAATACATATTGTGGTTCCCGAAGTAAAAAGGTACAGTTCAACTCATTTGGGGAGGGTGTGTGTTTCATGTTAATGTTAAACGACACTTTAATTTGCATTTAAAATTGCAATCCCTAACCTCTGCCTACATTGCAGAAGCCCAAGGAGAATTTGCTCTTCCAGCAAATGTCAGAAAACGCCTGGTTTTGTGTCATTTCCCTGAAGAAAATGTCATATTAATTGTTTTGGTGCCTGATTGCATTTTAGACTTGTTGAATAGTACAATGATACATGTGAAGAATTCCAGGGCTCTGTTGCCTGTGGTGTAGATCTGTTTCTGCATTTAGCTATCTCTGGACACTTGAAATTGTATTTGATCGCTTTTGAGGAAATAAACTATTTCCCATGTTAAGTGATTCTTTCTGTTACTGTTTCTTTTTCAGATTTCTACCTCATTTCATCAGTGGAGATTTAGATTCCATTAGACCAGAAGTAAAAGAGTATTACCAAGTCAAGGTAAAAGCATTTATGCTATATTGATCAGGAAGAAACCAATTGCAAATTACTGCATAATATTTTATGCCAGTGCTAGATTTAGATTTGACTCTTGAGTATTTATGATCCAGTCATTAAATAGAATCAGTTGCCAATATGTTTGAATGAATGTTCACAAGGGTAAGCAATAGTCCAGTAAAAGTTGTATTGGTTCCTTTTTTAAAAATCTATTGGCATTACAATATCAGATAAAGTACTTTTAGCAATAAAGACAAAAATCAAAGAGGAAATTTGAGTTGGACATAAGTACTCTTGAGGTATTTTGCCTACAAATATACAGTCACTCCATTTCACTGTAAATCCTGTGAAGTGCTTTAAGTCGTTCTTCCGATGTAATAAGGGAATATATAAAATGCAAGGCTTATTATTATTTTCACAGCATTTAGCCTCTTGCACTCATAGCAATCATTTTTGGTCTTTGGCAGAATTTTAAGGTATCCAGTTAGTAGCTGTCATTAGAAGCGTCTTGTGCAATTTCACCTTTGCAAATGACAAGATTTGTTCGAATGAAGAAGGCTCTTTGACCCATTTAAACTCATTCTTCCAGAATGCCTGCCCTACGAATTTCCCAATACAGTGTCAAGCTGTTTCTTCAATTACTTCAGAGTCCTGCCTCAACCACTCTTCCTGGTAATCCATTTCAATCATTGATTACCTGCTGTGCAAAGAAATACTTCATGCTGTCTATCCTAAAATTGTTTTGATCCTGTGCCCCCTTTTCCTGCTGCTTGGAGTATCTAAAATTCTGGATTTTACTTCCTTAATCTAAATAGAACACCATGTATACCTCTGTAAGATTCTCTCTGTGACATCTCTTTTCAAGATTAAAGAGCCGTAGCTTATCTAGTCATTCCTTAAATTTAATTCATCCCTTAAACATTTGCGATCATCCTTGTTGCACTCTGTACCAGCTCCTAAGGCCTGAGCAACCCCCTTATATTGTGCAGATGCTATAAATCACTGCTAGTGCTAAAATGCAAATGAATTATAACCAGACCTATTTTAGTGAAGTTTAGTATTTTATTCCAGTAGTGGAATGTGGAATGGAAAGAATCACTTTTTGGATCACAACTTCTTCAACACTCCAGGAAGGAGCACAGGTCAACAACATCAGAAAACATCAAAATAACATATACCCAAACATACTAGGCAGTCTATGTGTTAAGCCCCCTCTTAATAGCCTGCAAAGGATGTTGCTTATTACCATGATATTTAGTTAATCTGCAGGCTGATGTGTTTCTGGACCTCGAATGTGCCCTAGTAGTAGTAGTGTGTGTGTGTGTGTATGTGTGCGAGGGGGTTTGGAGAGGGGAATCTATGAGTGATAGGTCCTCCCGAAAATAACGACAACAAATTTATATAGCACGCTTCACATAGATTAACTTCTTGGTTCGTTGTACATTGACTAGGCTGGACACCAAATTTCAAACCTAGGACACACACATTGACTATGAATCAGGAACTTAAATCATAATTGATCTTTTTCCTCTCCTATACCCTGGGCACACATCACATATATTTGTAGCAACTAACTCATTACAGTCAAGAATTGAACTTGACACTTTCTTGGACTGTAGAGCTTATTAATTCACTGAATACATTTGCTGTGGCTTTTGGATGCCTTCCCTGCCTTCCTAGCTAGACTATTTTGAGTTGAGCAGAAGTCCCTATTGTATCTGTTTCAGAAAGTGATAATGAACTTCATTGGGATCTGCTTCCGAATAATTCTTGGTCTTAGTCAAATGGAAAAAATTCGGTAAAACTATATCTGTAGCATGATCATAAATCCATATTTGGAATTATATGACTTGGTGACTTGGTAAAGAGTAACACTGTACCAAAGCAGCAAGATATAGAATGGCATCATTGTTAACATTAGAAAACAGCCGTGTAAAGAAGTCGGATTTGGAAAATTGCGAGGAAGGGCAGACAAGATTGTTAACAACTTAGATCACTGAGTTATGAGGAGAGGCTCAGAAAGCTCTCTTTAATTTTATTATGAATGAAAGAATTGGGGGAGGAGGAGGGAGAAGATTATCATAAATCAAATGTTTCAAATTGCTAAGGAAATTCACAAGGTGGAAACTAAGAAGTTCTTTGTGCAGAACCAGAAGCATATAGGATCAGGATCATCATATCATTACATTCTATATTATGGTAAAGACAAGAACAAAAGCAATAAAATTAATGAACTGTGTTTCAGAAGAGCAATTTTTATAGCCAGAAAAATGGAATTGGGAAAGATAAATTGGAAAATATATTGGCATGGGAAAACGCTATGCAGAAATGAAAAGCTTTCAAGGATGAAATGAAAGAGTTCAAATGAAATATATTGCTGTCAAACAACAAACATTTACAATCAAGGCTAGAGTTTAAATGTTCAAGTAGTGAGTTAACTGCGGGTATAAAGAATAAACAAATATTTTGAAGAAAGAGCAAGGGCAACTTCAACAGATGCAGAAATAAATCAATAATTGCTAAAAGGATATTCAGGGTTGAGCAGAGAAAATGTGGATAAATAACTTGTGTGAGTATCATCTGAAGGTGTAAACTGTTTAAGAATTACAATGGCAGACATATTGGGCGTTTTAAGAATCAGTGAAAGGGAAACAGTGGCAGAAGTGAAGGACATTCAAGTTTTCAATAACTCATTATCAGTATTCACGATAGATTTCAGTTGTAATCCAAATCCACTAACAAAATTGGCAGGGAGATGAAGTGGAAAAGGCTTGAAAACATGTTTGAAAAGAAAAGATTTTGTTTCTCACAATTTCTTGCAGTATTGAATAAATGAAGAATGAATAGAAGTTTTTCAGAACAAAACTGATAAAAAACAACAACTTGCTTGTATATAGCGCCCCTCACGCAGGGTAGTGTCCCAATGGTGGAGCACGACTCCAAGCCGGAGGGAGGGGGAAGGTGACTGTAGGCATGGTCGAAGAGGAAGGTCTTCAGGCACGACCTGAAGATGGGGAAGGAAGGGGCAAGGCAGAGGAATAGAGGAAGAGTGTTCGGGGCGTAGTGGCTGAAAGCGCAAAACAGCTGATCTAAATTTGTCCTTGAGGCAGGATTCTGATAGAATATGCATCCGAAACATGGGTCACAAATATGGTTTGTTAACCAGGATGAACTAAATAACCCAAATGTAATTGTGTTGTTATGTTCTAGCCTCGGAGAGTGGAATCCAAGTACCTATTAGATTAATGAACATTGCTTACAGTTTTTAGTAAGGGTGGGTGCAGGGTGAGATGGGAGCCAGCAAAAAATATATTGACATCTATAGAATGTAATATGTGGAGGGTTTCTTCCCATTTATTTTGCCTATCCTGTTGTATGAATTATGATCCTCCGAGTCAAAAGATAGGTTCAAGCTGCACAACGGGACTTGGGATTCGGGACTCACAGTCCGTCTAAGCTGGCAAGCTGGTTTATCTGGTTAAACTTCAGTAATACTCCAATGCATACACTGAGGTCCAAAAGCTTTGGCTCTTCACGACATGTACCTAAACTTTCTGAGGTTAGGTAGGCAGGTGTGTCTCTCAGGGAGAAAGTGCCCATTCCATTCTGGACAAATGATAATTGTCTGCATATGTGCTACTCTCAGTACTCTAGAAACTCTGGATTATTATATATCACAAATAGAGAGATACTTATCTATCACACTTTAACTGCAAGTTAACAGTTTTGAACAATTTGAGTTTACACAAATGCATGACCTTTCTACTAATCTTGTCCCACTCCTGTCTCCCGTTTTGTTTAGCTCCCTTATCTCTTTTCCCCTGTATATGAATTCTTTATTCAGATTGAAATGTCAGTTTACGTGAACTGCAGTTAGTTATATTCAGTGGGGTTGAAAAGGCACTTGAATGGCAAAATTGCAATGTAACTGGCACCTCACACTGGAAAAAGCACCACAGAACATGTTTCCAGTAGGGGCGCCCAATATACTGCTGACTGTGACACGACTCCCATCTTCTCTATCACATTGCTTTTCTATTCAAATATCCTGTCTAAAATCAAACTGCTGCAAAGTGCTAAATCTTTACTCAATTACAGCCAGTTGTATTTTATGTGCAATAAAAAGAAAGTTTACTACACACCACTAAAGTGCTCAGTAATGTACAATAGATGAATGGGTTTCTGCATGTATCAGATATTCGGCTGACGCCAAAAAATTAATCTCATGGATATTTTTGAAAAATAGCACTACTACTCGCATTTTCAACATTTTTGGTTCTTAAAATGTCAGTGACTAAATAGATTTTGACCGTTTTATTATATCTCAGATGCATTATAACAATAATAATAATCCATGCATTTGGTACAGCGCCGTTCACATTGGGGGGAGATCCCAAAGTGCGTCACAGGATTTGCTATGAAGTGGATTTGCGAATTAATGCCAGAAACTCACTTCTTTTTTGAAATAGTGTCATGGCATCTTTAACGTTCACCTGATCTGACAGACAGGACATCGGATTTAATATCTGAAGGACCACATTTCCAACAATGCAACAATTTCCCCAGCAACATATCCGCACATTATAGTGTCAGTTTAGTTCAAGTCACTGACTCAGAGGCGAGGTCGCTACCACTGAGCCAGACTGACACACACTATCCTTGCACTTGATAAAACAACTTGTCATGTCAAATCGTCTCAAAGTGCTTCATAGGATTTTTGCTGTGAAGTGTAGTGACTGTTAATTTGTAGACGAATGATCTGCAGTTTGTTGGAGGAAAGTGGTGCAAAAATATCATCTGTTCTATAGGTTTAAGAAAACCACGTAATTGTTTGTTTTTCAGGGATGTGAGATCATCGAGACTCCAGATCAAGATCTCACTGACTTCACAAAATGCCTTCAGATACTACTGCACAAAATAAAGCAACAAGCATTGCAGGTATTGTGCCATTATGCATCAAGTCTGGGATTAATTCAAATAATGTCAGACTAATATGATGTGGTTTGAAGTCCTCTCTTTAAGCCAGTTTCCTCCACAAGCTCCAGAGCATTGAGAACCCCATAGTGCTGTGCTTTAAAATCTAGAAATTAAAAAAAAATCTAAGTCCTCGTGAACGGATAACATAATTCATTGAATTTTTATAAGTGGAAAGTAAAACCTTTGGGTTCAAATATCATTGTTCTCTGCATTTCCAGAAGTGATTGATTTTGACTGAGTAAGGTAAGAAGTCTAAATATAACAGCATTGTCCTACTGCTCATCAAAATGAACTAATCTAGGTCATGGACTTGTTGTCTGATGCAGTTTGCCTCACACCCACTCACTGCTAGACTGGGATTGACGGACCAGGAAACACATTTGCAGTGCTCAACAAACACAATGATTAATCACGCGCAAAAACAAACCTACATCATACTACCTCTCCACCACAGCCTTGTTAGAGGAAAGTGGTACAAACGATATCTGTTCCAAAGGTCTCAGAAGCAATTGCAGGGATCAATTTGTAAAGAAATTGAATTGTACCCTTCTATAATCTCTTGTCCCTTTGGATAGCTTTTAGAAAATATAAGGACATAATTTATAACTAAAATTGTTTGAATGCAGTGTGACGTAGCATGTTGCTTCCAAAGAGACAACTTTTTAGAAGTCTTTGCTCCTCCCCATTCTTGGCAACATGTATCAAATTGGATCTTTTAGGTTAATCTTATTTGGTGTATCAAATGGTGTTGATCAGTCCAAGGTGTTGCCCTGAAGAAAATGCTCAGATTTCTGGCTTTCCATAGACGCTGTTAAACTAATAGATTCCAGCCTTTTCATCAATGGCAATTAAATCAGATGGACTGCTTGAGTTGCTGCTAGGGATGCTTGATATATCAAGTTTGAATGATGATTTTCTCTTTATTATCAGAGATAAGTCTTAGGCAGAGTTATGCTTGAAGATCCTTCTTGCTGCAAGTAAAAATAAATATTTCAAAGCAGACAGCAATCTAACAAATATATAAATTATTGCGTGTATCTTGCAGTTGCCTCCCGGAAAAATGTCTTACATTCCTTGCCACTAAGATATGATTTCCTGTTAACTGTGATCCAAAACTTTCAGAAGATAAATCGCATTTGTCAAAGCCAAACTGTGAACTCAATTCTGATCTCTGAAGCAAGAGAGGGTAGGGTTAAAGACTAGCTGAACTACCAAATAAAAAAAACATGTGTAGTATTTTTTTTCTTTGTATTGATAAGACTTCAGCCTTACTCAGCAACAACAACGATTTGTATTTATATAAGCACGCTTCAGATGGGCAGCATCTCGAGTGCTTAACAGTGGCAAAACTTTACATTTAACTGGGAAGAGAGGAGAGCTGACCCTAGGCATGGTTTAAGAGGAAGGTCTTCACATGCGATCTGAAGATGGGCAAAGAGGGGGCAAGACTACTCCACCGATCTGCGCAATGTAAATAATATTGGTGCCAAGCCAGGCTTTTGTTGTGGAGTGAAATAAAAGCATAAAACCAATAGAAAGAAATATCTCAAAAATATCACTCAGTCCTCAAAGGGCCTTAATTGAACAGATTGTTCAGAAGGTCTTGAACCATTGTGTGAGAATTGGGAAAAGAGAAAGGAGTGTTTCAATAAGAGAGCACGTGAAAAACATCCATCTTCACTGACAGTTCGTTAGATTTTTAAAACGTGTTCAAAAGTTCAATCTGAGACTGAAATGTGAGGCCGACTCAGTCTTTTCCTTCTGGTGGAAACATTGTTAAATCCCTGTGGAGGCTTTAAAACTACTTTTATCATTGAAAAGTCAGTTCTTTCAACTTCAGAAACTGACAGATCAGTGATAAGGAAGGATATTCACTTTTGAGATTAAACGCCATTAGACAGAGCAGCACAACTCTAGCATTAAATTTAGTTCTAACAGCACCTATTCAATCTTGAAGGAGAGAAACGGCCTGAAACTTTACTGGCCAAGAGCTTCGAAGGAGGTAATATTTCAAACGCAGCGGGCATCAACTCAGCAGAGAATTATGTACTGAACCCTACTGCTCTGGATACTCTCCAAAGACCATCATTTTTTCTCTTAATTCCATTTTCTTGACCTTTAACATAACTTTTCCTCAAGTATTTTTCCAATTGCATTATAAGTGCCCAATGAGAGGGAAAAAAATCCTTATTAACGTTAATGGAAACTCATTAAGAGACGTTTAAGGTAGCATTCAAGGACTGTGGCCATCATAATATTTGATTTTACAGTAACTCCTGAGAACAATTAAATTATGATATTCGGTGAAAATCTAATGCCTTTCAAGTTACATACACAGAAGGATGGACAGTAGTAAATTTCCCCTGGGATCAAACTGACCACAATGATAAGCTCAGCCACAATTCTAATAAATTTTACTCCTGTGTAAAATGTACCTAGGGTTTTGGAGGAATAGCAAATGCAATCTGATTTAACAAATAATCACCAGACAACTAGAAAATTCTGTAACCTTGAAAGAATTTTCTTTCCACTATTTCCCTTGGTGGCAGTCACTAGAGAATATATAATAGGTGTGAGTCAAAGTGGTATTAATTGCAGTGTAGTTCATTCAATTGTACCTCAACTCGCTGTTAAATATAATTTAAGCGATACCTCATCTCTTGAAATTCTTGCACTTTCCTACAAAAAAAACTTGCATACAGATATGGGCAGGAAGACAAGGAAAACCATTAATATGAGAAAGGATTATACATCAGAATAGTTTAATCGTTTCACTGCTTTAAAATAAAAGTTAACTGCAGAAGGCAATAGCAACTTGTGACTATCCTCCTTGGTTGGAAGGTAAGTGGGGTCTCCTTGGACCTGAGCTGGCTCCATACGCATGTTAGAAGAGATGGATCTTCAGGTGATGTTTGTAGGCAGGGAGGGAGGAGCATGGCAGATGGACTACAGGATGGAGTTGCAAAGGTTGGGGCAGAATGACTGATGATGACTTACCCGCCAGTGGGGTAAGTGACGCTGGCTAGTGTTTGCTGAATTGCTGGGGCAGAAGGGCTGCAGATTGTCTCTGAGATAGGGTTTGGTGAGGCAGTTGAGGCATTTTGATATTTGCATGCTTCACATCCCATTGCATTTTTCAAAAATTAATTCCTTGTGACCTTGTAGGAGTTTGTAAGCGAAAGTGCACACTGCATTGATCCACTGTGATTGCTTGTCATTTACAGTAAACCGTGCAATAACCTACAATAAAGTTTAAAGATTTAAATTAAAACTTACAAAATGTATGTGTCACTGTGAAAACAGGTTGTGAAAAGCAAATTCTTTATAAATGTGTTTCATAGAAATGGCTTAACTCCATCCTTTCTTCTATTTCGGAATCAAAATCAAATTGTGACTCTTTTACTAAGCTTGGATATTCATGTGAGGCTTTATTCATGTAATGTATTATATTAAATGTAGTTGATGAGCTTCATCTGTGTTAAATATTTTTTGCACTGTGGTGTCATCAAAAGCAGTTTTACCATTCCCTGTGGGACACCACAGTTTTTCCACAGAAAATAAATAACTACACTCACATCAAAACCACAGACACCTACAGATTGATTTACCTCAGAGGAATACTTATTCCTACTATAATGCATTCAAATGTTAGATGATAGCATTACATTAATCAGTCAAGGGCTCCACAGTTATTATAGATGTGGTGCTTTTGAAATCTCAAAGAAGCTTCAATTTGAATCTAATTGCTCCTATCATTCTCCATTGAGAACAATAAGCTGGAGTCATAAATTAAGGTCTTGACCTTTTTTTTATTAATGTTGGGTCTTTATGTTTTGAAGCGAAGATGAAAAGGGCAGGGGAAATGTAGAAAACATTAATGGAAGCAGCTGTCATTTCTGTTGATAGGTTGATGTCATTGTTATTCTCGGTGGACTTGGAGGACGTTTTGATCAGACCATGGCCAGTATAGAGACGCTCTTTCATGCCGCAAAGATGACTGCTCTACCAGTTATCATCATTCAGGACACATCACTGGCCTGCTTACTACAGCCTGTAAGTATTAAACCATTGCAGCAAGTTGGTCTTAAAAGTAACTAAAATTGGCTCCATCAGGAACTTGGCCAATCAAGCAAGCTCCTTCCATAAACCACTAAACTAACCCTACTATTGACTGCATGGATTCACTTCCTGAACATCATCATGAATGAAGCAAAATTACTACATTCTTCACCTATCCACACATTTCTACTGCTGAAATCTACCCTTCTTGCCTCCAAGTTTGTCTCTTGAGACGCAGTGCCAAAGCTTTCCATCTGGTGGAGTATCTATCACCGTCACACTTAAGGCAAACCCTTCAAATAATGTAGTCAAACAGATACTTATCCAGTTCTTGTTTGATGTTAATCAGCGCAGCATGTTGTTGTTGCTGGCTGTCTGTTCCCCATAATCTTTACGCAATGTTTAGGGGGGTTAAATAAATGTTAAATTAAACACGAACAGTAAATGGCACAAGTGCTGGAAGACTTGTGCATTTATTGTGGCACAAATGTTCTAGCACTTGTGTTTGTTGTGTAGGGAATCCATTTACTGCTGCAGTCACCCCACTCTCCCCTCCCACCCTCAACGGGCTGAAACAATACACAAACGATGATTGGCACAAGTGCAGTTAAAAGAGATAGCTACTGAATTGAGTTGTTTTCCTCTACTACCGCTCTCAAATGATACCACCAGGATGGCAGATTGAAGCAGGCCTTGTATTGGAAATTTGCCATATGACAATGTCCCTGAAATGGTGCAGACAGGTCGTGGGGCGGGGCCGGTCGGACACTGAGCATTGCATTATATAAAATGGGGCAAAATTTGGGGCAATTCAGAATGTATTCAATGTAATATCATATTGAACGTTTTAGAAAACACCTCTAATTTCACCTTTTTTTAAAAAAAATGATATAACTATTCATAAAGTGGGTCATTGAAGTGTCATTTGAATCACAAGATAGCATTTACACTCAACTCATTGTTAGGATTTTTTTATTTTGTCTACTACAGTTTGGTTTTATACATTCAGTACTTTACTGATGTTTCTGACTCAAGAACAATATTCTGCTGTTGCTGGTGGTTCTGGGTGAAAAGGAATTGTGAATCAGTGTGTAATTGGCCAGTCTGGCATCATTCGGCGATGAAATGTGGGAATTAAGGCGTAGGAGTTTTTTTGATAAGCATTTATTGGTTATTTACAACCTTGGATGTGATTGTGCTGCTAAAGCTGGGGAGCTGAACATAGATTGCAAGTTAAATTAATGCAAGGGTACAATTGTTATCAATGACACTTTTATAGCAATTTGAAGAATAATAATGTCACGTGGACATTTTAATCAAATTATTGCGAATCAACATAGGCAACAATTTATTGCGTGCACATTTGTCTTTACATACTTGTTGGGAGCAATTGTAAAAAAAAACATTCAAAGTGGCACTGTTTGTCCCCATACTATTATCAACATATTTACATTGTTAAATTTCAGTAAATTTACAGTTAAGCATAAGAAATACTTTGTAGAAATACTTTGATCAAGTGTTAAAATCCTACTCGGCCTCTTTCCTAAAAATAAGTTAATTCTCTGTTCAGAATAGACAGTGAATTAAGGAATGCATAGCTCCCTGGTACTAGTCAATATTCTCCAGTGGTAGAAAGTTACAGAAAATAATTGTTGCAAAAGCACATTTCAAAATTATAAAGGGCATCAAAGGATAAAGTAACTGCTTTTATCATTTCAGAGCACAGCGCTTCTGTTAAATTCAATTTTATGCGTGTATGGATGCTCAGTCTTATGAAAGATGGAAATACTGTGGTGTGTATAGATATATACAATTATATTGAATAGAACTGATGAGTAGATTTTCATTACGTTTTAAAAAGTACAAGTCAATTTACACTGCTTAGAAAGAAAAGTATTGAGCCAGTTTGATTTTAACAGTTTATTGAATTCATGCCATTAGGAGTAATTATGTTACTAACTTTTAAATTACATGAATTATTCTGAATTAAGCAGTATTGAGTTGTTGTAACATAAGAGCTTTGTTGAAGATCATCCAGTTTTCATTCAGTTTTACCTTCACATATATTAATAATTATATTATCAAAGTGCTTTGAGATGTCTTAACGAGTGATAAGGCGCAATATCAAATGCAAGGATTATTATATTATAATAATTAATAATAGTCATTGTCCTTGATATATTACATTTGACATCTATTCACCTCGTCAAAACATTTCAAATTGCTTCCCAAGATTTTTATTGTAAAATGTAGTGGCTGTGTGTTTGTAGACATACACCACTGCCAATTTTCACAAGCAGTGTCCCATGTACATTCCTTTGAAAGTGCAAGGGTAAAATGTTGTACAAGTTGTGTAGTTGGACAAATCTGGGTCGAACTCATATTCTATACATGCACACAAATACATGCATACATACATCATGCATGCATACATATATACATACACACACATACATACATCTTATCACCTTGTCAAAACATTTCAAACTTCTTCCCAAGATTTTTACTGTAAAGTGTAGTGAATGAGTTTGTATGTAAATGTCTGTGCAGTTAAGACCTTTGATTTGGGTACTGCAGATCTGTTTACACATAGTTAAATCCCAGGTTCAGCATATGGGAGGAATTGTCAGCCTGTACACATCCAGAAAGTATCCACTCAATCCTCCTGCTTTTCAAAATTGTTAAAAGTCTTATTTTAAAAAAGAAAAAAAATGCTTTTAATGCAGTGGAATCCCGACGTAACTCAAATCGGAGGTGACGTCAGTTGTTTTTTCTGGTCAGCTGTGTTTATGACACCTGTGGAAATCCATCATCATGCTGAGAGGTCCACATGTGTATGCCACCTAAACATAAATATTTCCCTGTGTCTGGAATGGAATGTATACTCCTTCCTTGGAGGGACACACCCTGCTTATCTAATTCCAGAGAACAAAAGGCACAGACAAGGGTTGGGAACCCCAGAGAGTGTGTCGGGTATGTCCAGCTAGGACCACCCTCCTTGTTAGGGCTTTTGCTTCCAGGATAAACAGAAGCTGAGTAGAAGGAATCCTTGCTTCCAGTGACTGCTACTAGTAGAGATGGCAAGTGGGGGGAAAGGCACTGTATGATATGCAAATCTGAAATAAAACAGAAAATGCTGGGAAATGTGCTGCCAGTCGATCAGCTTCTGAAAGAGAAATTCCAATCACTGTTTTCAGATTAAGAGGCAGTTGCAGCCACAATATAAGCTTGACTTTCACATTCAGGTGCTGATCCAACTTCTATTTAACATTTCCTCTTATTAGTCCACATCTACTGTCATTTTTTTGGTTTGTTTCAAACGTAGATACATAGATTTATAAAAAGGCCCAGAGACCCATCAAGTCCATTCTTGAGATAGTTCCACCATTTCACCCCCCACCCAGCACTCAAACTATACTTCTCGAGTTGTCAGCCACTCAGTCTCCTTCCCAAACATGCTGTTCACTACCCTGCTCAGATACAGTCGCTAGATTTGCCTAGATCTTGTCTGTGTATGCATTTTGGTTATTGTCATCTGATTGAATTGTTTGCTGGCAAACCAAAGTGGATGGGGGAGGATAAGATGCATCTATCAGTCTGTGATGATCACTTGCAATCAGAGACAAATTATGTCTATTTCCATTTTGGGATTCATTTCTAAAAGAAGAGGTAGACAATTCCTCATTGTGTTAGATTTAAGACCAATGCCTTAAAAATTAATATTGAGCAGAAGTTTGGAAATTATTAATTTCCATCTTAATGTGGATGCCGGTTTTCTTCAGGTGTTTTCAAGATCTGCGGAAAACTGGCTTCCAAATAAAGATGGAATTTAAGTAAGAATTTTTAAAAATTCTCATACATCTTTAAATGTTAAAACAGTAAGATTAATTTTAAGATTAAGACCCTAATTGATTTTGAACCTCAAATGTTGGCAATGAACTTTTGCAGCGAAAGAGTCAACAGTAGTGATGGAAACTTGCTATTAGGAGACCTGTAGCTCAGTGGTTAGAGCACTCACCTTGCAAGTGATTCCCGGCAGGGCAAAACCTTGGGTAAATTTCCTTACTCCATATGCCTGATAGTAATACCTCAAGAAAAAAAAATAATAATTTGGTCACTCAATCCACGACTGTTTGTGGGACACTGCTGTGCGCAATTGGCTGCCGCGTTTCTCCCACAAAATATACAGTCACTTTGCATATATTCTATGAAACGCTTTGAGATGTCTCGACGACGTGATAAGGCGCTATATCAAATGTAGTCAACAGACTGGCCTATTTTTCCCTTCTTAATGAAGTGTCCTCATTGGTGAACTTGGGATTTTGTTCACCATCCATTTAAAAGAAGCAGCCTCATTTTGAAAAGGAAAAGTGAGGCTACGATGTCCTCATTACTGAGATATCCACAGAGTGAAGTGCAATTTTGCATCCAAAATGTAGATACTCTGTTTTATAGATAAAAATGGGCCCATGAAGAACAGTTCTTTCAAGCATGCAGTAATTGTTTGCAGTGTTGCTGTTGGTCATGGCTGATTAATTTGAAATTGCCCAGTAGACAGCACGTTCCACATTGGGTTCAGTACTTCCTTTTCTTAAATTGTTGCAAACTTAGCCCTCATGTCAGACTCAGACCTACAGACACTTATGATTAATGTAGAAAAATAATTAATGTAGAAGATTTTTAGAAATACGTCGTGGGATGCAGTGTCATGATTAATACATTTGAATAAGGAAGAATTATATAAAGTCAATGGAATAATCATTGATTCAAAGTGACATTGTATAATATTATAGTTGATGGATGCAACTTTGGGACCCAATTGCTGGTATTTCTTAACAGGATCCATTAATGAGAAAACTGAGGCATTCACATGGAGACTAGTTTCAGTAACGACAAGTAGATCACATCATGCTGCAAGAATTCCACTTTTGAAATGATCTAGTTATGAAGTAGGGTTTTCACGGTTCAACGGGCAATTTAACCAAATAAATCCA